GAACACTTGATTTGCAATCAGGAAAGACTTCAGCTCAAGCCTTTCTTCTAATACTTATTGGCTTTGTGAACATGAGTCAAGCCACCTAACTTCTCTGAAGGTTAGTGTTAACATCTGCAAAATGGAGATGATAAGATAGTCTCATATACTGGAAAAAATGTTGGACTTCAAGTCAGGAGAGAACTGGTTTCTTTCCACCTCAAATATTTCTTAGCTATGTGATCTTGAGGTGCCACTTAACCTAAATGAACTTCAGTCTTCTCATCTATAAAATGGGGATAATAATGCCTGGGGTACCTACCTGTAAGGATCAGATGAGATGTAAACTTTAAATTCACTCTATACATCTGAGAGACAACTCAATCTTGGGGACAAATGCTAGTCTTAGGGACAGGAAGATTTGGGGACAAGTCCTGCCCCTGCTACACCCTAGCTGTGTGACCCTGGGCAAGTCACCTAACCTCTCTCAGTGACCCCAGGAAATTCTCTAAAACTCGAAATTGCAAAGGAGTTCCTGCAGTTCTATATTGGTGTCAGGAGTTTCCACACCAGAAGCTCCCTATGGTAATAAGATCACAGCTGCCAAGAAAATAACTTTAACTACAATCTGGTGTGAATGGAAGAAAGCATCTGGCACATAGTAGGAGCTGTATAAATGTGGTGGTGCTGGTGGCGGTGATGATATTGATGATGATGATGATGATGATGGTGATGATGATGTTATGGTGAAGACCTAGGTTCAAATTCTAGCTCTGCTACTTATCTCCTTGTGACCTAGGGCAAGTCACTCAACCTTTCTGAGCCTCAGTTTTTCCCACTTCTAAAAATGGTTTGGTCTAGATGACCTCAAACATTCCTTCTTGTTCTAGATCTATACTCTGATTACCCTAAATCTCAGCTCTCTGCTTAACAGCTGTGATTATGGACAAGTCATGGAACTTCCCTCAACCTCAGTTTCCCCCTCTGCAAAATAGAAATAACAATAGCATTCACTACCTTGTTTGGATTATGAGGAAGATGCTCAGAAAGCCTCAAAACATTATGTAAATTTCAGTCATTATTATTATCATGTACTTCACTTGATTGTGCTGAGAAAAGCTCTTTGTAATGTATGATATATTCATGTGAACATTATGAGACAGCTCTGGATGTCTCAGTTTGGGTATATGTGTGCATGTGTCTGGGAATTTCTTTGTGTATTTATCTTTACATAGAAGTACAAGCACACCTACTTATCTTCCTTTCTTTCCCTAGAGACGTTGTGCAGGGGGCAATGGGATTGTAGCTTGCCGACATAGACATCTAGCCAGCCTACCTGGATGCCCCCATACAGACCTCAACTGGCTTTGTTTGCCATTTCACTGCATCCTGGGGGAGGAAGAGGCAGCTGGGCTCCAAGCCTATCTATGGATGGCCCATCTGCTTCCCCTTTCTCCCAGCCCCCCCCACCCTACAGGCTCTCCCTCCCCACTACAAACAAAATTTCACCCTGGCTCTTTCTCTGCTGCTGGAAGTTGTGTTAGTAAGTGGGATGGGATGGGACCTGCCTCCCCAGACTCAGTTATCTCCAAATGTTCCTGCACAGGCAGGTATCTGAGTAAGCTGATGGGGAGATGCCCAACTTAACCCTTGATGTTCCTATCAGCTGCATGGCCTACTGAGCCAGGGCCAGGAATTCCCCCACAAACCCTGAAGACAAAGTGAAATGGGGTTTTCCTGGGCATCAGGAAAGCTAGGAAGCTCAAACTATTCCTCTGTCTGCCTTGATCGATGTATTGGAGACTAAGCACCAAAGAGGTGATGAGATCAGAAGGCAGCAGAATACGTAGGATCCTATTTACAGAGCTGAAAGGCACAGGAAGGGTTTTGAAACCCTAGAATAAGAAAGTGAAGGATGTTGCAGAATCTCCCTGGATACCTTAAAGAAGAGGGCAGCTGCTCATCTGTTAGAGACAGGGGCATGGATGTGTTAACCTCTGGGGCGGGGGGAGGGGGGGAGAAATAAGAGGAGATAGAATTCCAGCCTTTGCTGCTGTGGGAAGGTGACTTAATTAAACTTGACTACTTCAGTTTATCAGTCTGAAAAGTAAGGCACAAAAGTAGGGCTGGAGGGGAAGTTAAGTGTCTTACTCTTGTCCTTTCTACTCTGCCTACTGGGCTTCCTCACTTTCTTCCCCCCCTGGTTTACACAGCGTGAGGGAAGGCTACAACTGCTTAAGGTCTCCAACCACAGCTGAGAAGGGGATGAAGGGAGGAAGGAAAGAAGCTGCCCACCCTGGGAAGAGGGCACTTTGAGCTGACTCAGCTGTCCCACCCAGGCTAGGGCAGGGCTGGGGCAGGGCCAGGGTGTTGCACTGGAGAGCTGACAGGTGAATGCAGAGACAATGCTGGGAGCTGCTCGGGGCTGGGCTCTGGAAAACCTGCCCAAGGTGGGGGCTGGGAAGAGCACTAAACTAATGCCCTACGCTGGGTCAGGTAGCACCACCTGATGGAAAGAGAGAGTGTCAACACAGGCATGGCGAGCCATCCACTGCCTTCCCCTCATCAATCACCCTCAGGATCCTGTTGAGTAAGATATCTTTTGAGCAGAAAATAGGCAAGTGCCAATCTTCCCCCACCCCCACCTTGACCACCACCACCACTACATTGTTGTTTTCAGCAAGATGCAGTGGAATCAGGAGGTCTAGAGCTTAACCTTGGTTCTATTAGCTAGCTGCTTGCCTTTGAAAAAGTCATTCCCCCTACTTTGGACCTCAGTTCTCTCATCTGTAAAATTAAAGGGTTGGAGAAGAGAATTTCTCAGACCCCTTTCTGCTCCAACACCAAGGTTAGATAGTAATGGAAACTGGTGGACAGCTTTCCTCCCCCATCCAAACCTGCTGTCTCCCTTCTAAGCCCCCAGCACAATCATCCTTCTGCCTCATTCTCTTCCCCTCCTTACTTGACTTCTGCCTTTGACCCTAAGAACCTGATCTATTGGCGTCTACCCAGCCATACTCTTCAGCCAAAGATTCCAGGGCTCCTGGCTGAGTTATAGGGGTAGGGAATGGAGTGCAAATGAGAAAGCCCAGAGAACTTTCTGCAGGCAGGAGTTGGAAAGTTGTCTGGTAAACTTAACTCTCTTTCCCCTCCCTTACTCTCCCCTCCCAGCTTACCCAGAGATTCCTGACTTAGTGAGTAGCCCTTGGACAGGAATGAAAACAAAGACTGATACTAAGGCAATCCTCCATTGTTCCCCTCTCATGACTCACTGCTGAGAAAATCCACAGTCCCCAATTTACAACCCCCTTCCATAGTGTTTGCTTCCGTTAGTGACTCACTAGAGACTAAAATCATAATCCCCTGCAGCTGAATTTGTTATTCCTTAGTTTTCCTGCCCTGGGTGGGAAGAATATCAGATTAGATCACCTTCAGGCTGGAGAAAACATACTTCATTTTCCCTGAAGCCCTGTGCTGGCTGTGTGTATGCTGTATATGGGATAAAAGGTGGTAGAGAGAAGGAAGGAGGGAGCAAGGGAGGGAAGCAAGGGAGGGAGGAAAAGAAAGAAGGAAAGGAAGGGAAAGAGAAAAGGAAGGAAGGAAAGGAAGGGAGGGAAGGAAAGAAGAGAGGAAGAAAAGGGAGGAAGGGAGGAGAGAAGGGAGGGAGGGAGGAAGGAGGGAGGAAGGAGAGGGAGGAAGGCAGGAAGGGAGCAAAAAGGGGAGATAAAAGGTCTACAGAGGCTGAAAATGTGTTTTTCTAGACTAGATTCGAAAGTGTCATCTCTATATGCTACCTGCCCACTAAACATTTCCCCTTGAATGTCCCTCCAGGACCTCAAGCTCAGTAGGTCAGTTCCAAAACAAAATTCAAGCCCCAATATTATCTTGTATTCACTTCATGTATGTTTAGTGACTACTTACATGTGTTCACATTGTCTCCCTTTATAGAATACAAACTCCTTGAGAGCGGAACATGTTTTGTTTTTGTCTTTGCATCACCAGAGACCAGAGTATTGCCAGGCACATAGTGCTTTAAAAAGTACTTAATAAATGCTTTTTGATTGATTCTTTCCTAAGCCTCTCTTACCTCCTCTGTATCCTCCCTATTTCTGTCAATGGCATCACCATTCTTCCAGTTATGCAGGCTTAAGATCTTGGTGAAACCTTTCATTCTTCCCTCCCCCTTGGACCTGATATCCAATCAGCAGCTAGCTCTGTGGATGTTATCACTACAACATCTGGCGATTCCAGTCTTTCCACTACAGTTGCCACCAGGCCCTATTTCATTACCTCTTGCCTGGACTATCATAGTGGCCTCTGCAAATCATCCCCCATCTACAACCTCCACATCTCTGCCTGTTGAAATCTTCCTCTGCCTTCAAGGCTCGACTCACATACTTTGTCCTTCTTGACCCTCCCACCTGAATTCCCACTCTCCAAATGGGATCTTTGCCTCCAAAATTTGTTCAGAGCACTCTGTCTAAACCCTTCTTGTTTAGGTCCTTTCACGTTCCACCCTGAATCATACTTGTGTACATATCTTATTGATGACCCTCTATAAGATTGCAAGTTCTCTGAGGGCAGAGACTCCATCATTCTCAATCTTTGTCACCCCTGGACCTAGTATAGTGCTAAGCCTTGCATTTTTTTTTTAAATCCACACCTGTGATTTCATCAGTACAGGGAAATGCCTGGTAAGGAAATCCTGTCCATCAATGCAGATCAGCAGTTGCTCTGCAATTTATAGTTTTAGAAGCTGCTTGGGGGCAGTAAGATGTGACCTGTCCAGAGTCCCAGAGTTTGTATGAGTTAGAGGCAGGACTTGAACTAAGCTCTTCCTTACTCTAAAGCCAGCTTCCTATCCACGATGCCATGCTACTATGCAAATAGTAGCTTTCAAACATTTACTGATTGAATTGAATTTGAGGTTCTGCAATTGACTTGACTTTTGAGTCAGAATTGTAGGGAATGGGTTTTTACACTCAATTTCTCCCCTTGTGAAACAGTAGAAGTGACAAGGATGCTGTTTAGTCTGTGTTGACTTTTATTAGAGGCACTATGTGTGTGTGTATCTGGGGAAGGGGGAAATAGCCACCCACTTGGGCTAGCTCTGTGCATCCAAGTTCAAAGCTCTCTCTGGTCTCCAGAGTCGACCAAAGGAACCGGGGACAAAGTGGGGTTATGACACCACAGAGGAGTGGAGAAACATCTAGCAGATTCATCAGTGAAGAAGCCTGGGGCTCTGAGGGCCTTCAGAACCTCCATGTCAAGGCAGTGCCCTGACCCTTTTCTATTTCCACCGACCAGTGACTTTGGCCTTTCCTCGGGTCTTGGAGCTGCAAGGAAGAAAGCAATACTCAGACATAGAATGAGCTCGAGTAAGTTTGATCAAATATGGTGCTGGGGAGTAGGCAGAGGAGGGTAGCTGGTCCTAAGGAAGGGGGAATAAGGGTTAGAGAGGCTGCAGTGAGGGTGAAAGAGGGAAAGAGAGAAGAACCAGGAAGAGCTTTCTAGAGGGGGAGCAAATAAAGAAGAATGTGGGTTAAGAAGAAGGGACAAAGGGACCATATAGAGCAGATTAAGCAGGAGGGCTGGGAGGGAGAGCAGTGGACACTTACACCTTCTGGTTATCATTGATCCTGTTTCGGAGAACATTAATCTGCAAGAGAAACAGGATTGGGTGATCAGAGCCTGAGCCCAAAGTGCAGAGCCACAGGACCAGGAAAGCCCATGAATAGGACAGAGCTCAGCCCAATAGAAGAAAAAATAGGCAAGAAGGTGAGCCCGAATGCCCCATGTCTTCATTGTCTTGTATTGTCTCCTAATTAAAGTTCAGCTTCCACTGCCTGGCATTCAAGGCCATCTCCAATTTGTCACTACCCTGCTTTTTGGACCTAATCTCATATTACCACTTGCCCAAACACATGTTATACTTCACCAACCTAAACAGTTCTCTGGACCCCAGATGTGGTCTTCACTATCCTGCCTCAAAATTTCTGTTTAGTCTGTTCTGAAGCTCAGGAAGCATCTATGACTTCTCTGAAGTGGGAACTCCCTCCCCAATGGAAAACTTCACAGACAGTCTTAGAGAGTTGCCTGAAGATGTGAAGGGTTAAGTGACTTGTCCATGGTCATATAGCCTAGGACAACAATTTACTTTGTATGCATTTGGTAATTATCCACTCCCCTACCCCTAGTGGAATGGAAGCTCTTTGAAGTTAGGGACTATTTTATTTAGTCTTTCTTTTTCCACCCCCTAGCACTACTGGTTCAGCAAGATAATAAATAGTGGCTGAACTGAACCCAATGATAACAATAGCTCACATGTATATTAGTGCTTTAAAGTTTCTGATGTACTGATGTGCTGGTTCATTTTTGGCAAACTTAATAGAGGGCATGAATGAGATCCATAGAGTTTCAGCCACAATCTGCCTTGTTGGATAGGATGCCCATGTCCCCATAGTGAAGCGATCCCAGATCCAAGGGCAGAGGGGAAAGTATTTACATACATTCCCTGATTTCATATTCACAGCAACTCCACTGAGGTAGATAGGTACAACATACGTTATTACCCCCACTTTCACAGGGGAGGAAAATTAGCTTAGAGACAATCCTTAGATGTCTTGCCAAGGGTCACCCAGCCATAGAGGCCCGAGTCAAACCTCCTTCCTCACTTTTGCCCATTGAACTTTTACCCCTCTTTCAAATCCTCATTTAAATTCCACCCCCTCCCTTCCCCTCAGACCTACATAGCCCTTGGTTTTGTAACCATATAATACAATTATCATGTGATGTTGTGAATTATGGCCATCTGAGTTGGTATCTAAGTTCCCTACTAGACTTTAAGTTTCTTGAGGGCAGGGGCCATAGCTTAAATGAATTTTGTTTCTCCTCAATAAACATTACACAGTACAAATGTGTGAACACAAAGTTTTGAAAGGGTAGGAAGTGGGGGGGGCGTAAGAGAAGTGGGTTCTAGAGCTGTGTGACCCCAAGAACTCAGACTGATTCAGGTGTTTGGGAAATTTCTTGAGATCAGAAGCACAAAGCCTAATCTTCCCGTTCGCTTCTGGGAATCCCTAGTTTCCTTCATAGTTTATCCTCAAGGGCTGTCTTCTACATAAAGCCTTTCCTGATCCTCCAAGCTACTTGAGGCTTCCCCCCCCAAAAAAATGATTGAATTAATTTTGTATATGTTTATACTTATATCTCCTCAGATAAAAATGTAAACTCCTTATGAGAAGAGATGTCCCATTTCTGTCTTTGTACCCTAGCCACCTCACACACTGGTACATAGTAGATCCTTGTTAATTTGTTGAGTGATAGGAGCTATGCAAACAGCCTGGTTCATTCAAATCACTTACCAGCAACCAAGGGAAAAGACATTGGCATAGAATGTTAGAGCTGGAAAGTGACCTGAGAAGTCAACTAGTCCAATTCCTCCATTTTAGAGAGGAGGAAACTGAGGCAAGGGGTAGATAAACTGAGCCTATGCTGCTCCCGCTGCTTATGGAGGTCAGAAATATATTCCCAAGGCCATAGCCAAAAAGAAGCTCCAACACTTCATTTTAACATACATTTGACTCCCCCCCATTTGAGGCACCCTGCTTTCTGGCCATTCTACACTATCTTAATGTGTCTTTTCTGCTGGGTGGAAGTTCTGAAATCACATGTCTGTGTACGTGTGCCTGTCAGTGCAAGCGAGCTCCAGTTGAAGAGGGCAGTGGCCCCATTTACTGAATTCTCCCTGGGCATCACCCAACTTCAGCCCAGGGAATAATTAAGTAGTTAATCAAGGTTTTGGCAAGAAAAGAATGACACTAATACCTTATATTTATATGGTACTTCAGAGCTTGCAAATCCTTTACGTTCCCTGACCTCACTTGATCCTTACAAAAACCCTGGGTGTAAGAAAGGACTAGGATAATGTTCCCAATTTTACAAATAACGAAACTGAGATTCAGCAAGGTCAACACAGCTACTAGTAGAGTTGGAACTCAAATATAAGTGTCCTGACTTCCAGGTCAGTGTTCTTTTCACCATATCACTCTTGTTAGTGATAGTAAGGGGTGAGCGGAAGACTGAAGGACCTTGGAAGGACTTCAAAAAAGGATTTCCAAGAAGATATAGGAGGAATAGATTGGGGGTAATTAGGGGTCATCAGGCAGAGAGGTGTTACGGAGCAACTAGAGGGAGTGAGGCATGTTGGGAACTCAGAGGATCAGTCAGTTCAGCAGAAGAGATAAGAAGAATAGGGAGGAATGAGATTCTCTTACTTCATATTTCTGTTGCTTGAACCTCTCCTGCAGATCAAACTTCTCTGCCTCCAGATTGTAGATCGTTTGCCATAGATCTTTAGCCTTCTCCCTGTGGCGGAGGAAAGTAGGAGGTAGGAGAGGTAGGAGGGAAGCAGGTCAGAGCAATGGAGTCACTGAGCCCACTCCTGGGGACTCATTACCAAAGTTCCAGGCCACCCAGAAGATTCTCACCATAACCCTAAGCCCCATAGCAATCTTGAGCTCAGGTACCCCAACCACTCCTTCCAGCCCTAGAGACACTGGGATTTTCTCCAGTTCATATTAAGGATCCATTGCTCACCATGGGGGTCAATGGGCCAATGCTTCCTAGAAGATCGTAGAAGGCTGAGCCAACCTTTTGGGTGTGAGGTCCAAAGGAGCGCTCATTAAATAATCTAAGAATCTCATGGCTTCCATTGCTCCCAGGTTTAGGCTAATTCTAAAATATCTCTTATGGATCTCTAGGAGTGAGACCGGGTAATATAAGGAAGGCTCCCAGAAGGGGGCACCAGACATAAGCTGATGGTGGTGACCAGTAGTTCCTTGAAGAGGTAGGAGCCTATAGGATTTCTCAGCTCATGGGATCACCTGTCTCCTTCACTCAACTCACCTTCGCTGTCAGCAAGGGTCAGCACCTTCACTTCAAGGGGTCATTGGACCCCCAAATGAACCTTCAAATTGGGCCTTCTACATATTACACTTTTGTCCACTTTTCAGGCCCAAGGGCCATGTGTGGGATGCTGCTGCCCCCTAGTGGTATTTATTGAGAACAGTGCTTCCCCAGCTAAATCTGGTCAGCCTTGAACTTCCCTTCAAGCCAGATCACCATCCCTCTCACCTCAGCTGATCTTCATTCAGGTGGTCAATAGCCAGCACCTTCCTCCTCTCTGCCAAGATCTTCTTTTTCTTCTCCCTTTCTGTCTGCCTTTTCCCACTCTTTCGCTCTGTCTAGAGTGAGGGAGAAGGGAGACCAAGGAGGATCTTAGGGAAGGGAGAAACTGTTTTCCCCTGCCCCTCCACTAACATCTATCCCAGAGAAGGCCTAAGGATTGCAAAAGCTCCCTCACAATTCCCTTCTTGGGCCCCAGGCCCTAGCTGACATCTGGAGTCCTTGAAGAAGCTTAGACTTTTTGGAAAGTTACTACTGAGGGAGGGTTCTCCTGAAGAGGGTATATGGTACAGTGGAAAGAGTACTGGATCTGAAGTCAGAGGACCTGAGTTCAAATCCCATCTCTGCCATCTGTATAGATGTGGGTAAATCAGTTAACTCCTCTTCTGTCTTTCTGTCTTCTCTGTTTGCCTCCCCACTCTGACTCTGGGTCTTTTTCTTTTAATAATCCATTGGCACTGGAACCCTTAAATCACATAATATCAGAACTTAAAATGGCTTCAGAGGTTTCCTAGTCCTACCTGTACCTAAATAAGGTTCTTCTCTATAGCACCTCAGTAAGTGGTCAGCTAGTCCCTGCTTGAATAACTATTGATGGGAAAGCTATTGCTTCCATAGGAAGGGTCGTCAGGGGTCATTTAATGCAATAACAACCTAAAGCATCAGTCCCTAACCCTATCTACCATTATCCTTTTGTGGTCTTTCAGCAGAGTCACTTCCTCTTCCAGGAAACCTTCCCAGATTTATGATGGGACTTCAAATGTTGATACCTACCTGAGCTTGCTAGAGCAGGAAACCATGAGAGAAAGACCAAGAGAGAGAAAGACAGACATATAGACAGAGACCCAAGGGAGATGTGGGGAGTGGGGTTGGGGAGAGAAACAGAAAAAGGGAAACACAAGGAAAGGGAGAGAAGGAAAGGAAAAAGCAGCAAATGTTAACTGTTGTCTGTCTATTGTGATATAAGTCTCTGTGGGACAGGATCGGGATTCTCTTTTCCAGAGAGAATGAGTGTAAATATATTTGGGGCATGGGGAACAGGATGGGGTTAACCCTAGAAGTTGTAGACTTTGGAAATTTGAGAGACAATTTCTCTTGCACTGTGGAAAACAGATAGCTGCCTTTCCCACCTCCTATACACGTGGGTTGGAATATTGGGACAAGTTCCAGTCCATTAGGGCCTTGAGATGAAGACCTTCCCCAATCCGTAAACTAGCCCTATAGCATATGTTACTAGATCCTATTAAAAAGTGAGGGTATGTTGGAAGGCAGTGCTATTGCTGGGGTCCTATCCTTTAGGTACCTCTTACTATCCATCCTACCATTGTTGTGGGTGGGGATCCTTGGGGCTATGGAGAAGGCTTGCCTTGCTACTATTGGACAAGGAGAGATGTTAGAGGCAGCTTCTAAGGAAATCTGGAAGGCTGGACACACTGTGGGGTTGAGAGAGGGATTTCTATGCTTAGGAGATGTCTCAAACCTAGAAGTCTTGACAGGTTTATAACCAGTAAATGGGAGATTCTTCTTGAGGATCCAACCTAAATCCTGTCTAGTCTAATGGAAATTTCTTTATGGATGCTACTGATGTATCCTCACTTATTACTAATGCCTTACTCAGGAACTGGGCCCCTATTTCCTTGACATGCTCTTCCCACCTTCTGAATGTAACCACCAAAGTGCATCATATTGGAGAGAGCTTTCTTTTTCCGAGCATCGTCTTCAGCCTTCCTCCTGTTCTCTTCCTCTTCACGTCGGGCTTTTTCTTCCTGTGTTGTTGTAGGGTGAGAGGGAATGGAGTGGGATATAAAGAATTAATAGAGAATCCAGGGAAAAGAAACCAGTGCTCTTGGGGAAAACATTTGTCATGGGGTGGAAGGTACATGGTTTATAGAAGACCATAGCTGGTTTGGGGGAGTTTCTGAACATTAATTTTTGAACACCAATACAAATGTTCACACTTATTCTAGTTAAATCACTTGCCCAATGTCGTATGGCAAGTAATGACTCAAATCTCTTTCTTCTGACCCTAGTCCTAGTAATCTTTCCATATATCACATCAGAAAGGGCTATGTTACCCTGCTAGTTTCACCCCTTACCTGTGAACATAATCTCCAACTAAATCATTTTACCTAAACATCCTGATATATACATACGCACACACATATATATACACATTTGCATATACATATGTATGTATGTATTGCATGCACCTAGTTAGTACATATTGACTCCTTCATTAGAATGTGAGCTTTGCAAGGACAGTGACTCTTTTTTGCCTTTCTTCACATTCCTAGAGCAATGCTCGGCACATAGTAAATGTTTAATAAATACTGGTTGACTGACATATCTAGTGAGGTATAGTAGAAACATTGCTTGATGTAGAGTGAGGAGACTTAGGTTCTAGTTTCAGCTCTGCTACTAGGCAACTGTGTGACCTTGAGTAAGTCATTATGATTACTAAGGCCCTTTTTCATCTCTACGACTTTTGAGTCTTCAGTCCTTTCCCAAACCTTAATGAATCAGGAGCAACCAATTTTCCATCTATCTAGAGTCTGGAGGGAGCTTGGACATTGGGGTTTGTGTATTGGGCAGTGCAGCCTGGTCAGAAACAATGTATGATTAGAGGTATACCTCCTGTTGTTGCTATGGGCTGGGCAACAATAGAATGGGTTGGTGGTGGTGATAGGTGGTAGGAACAGCATGGATGATGGGACAATTGGTCACTCACAGCCAACCGGTTCTGACGCTCCTTCTCCCGTTCATTCCGGATGCGCTGCTGTTCTGCTCGCTCAGCCCTCCGATTCTCCTGCAAGGAAAAGAATCATGACCAGTGTAGAAAGGGGGAAAGAGAGAAGGAAGAACCCCTTTCCTAAGGGTCATCAGGCGGCAAACAAGCATTGTAGAAATGCAATAGGAGCAAATCCAACACAAAGCTTCCATCTGATCTCACTTTTACTTTTACCTTTCAAATCAATTCTTAATCTGATTGCCTGAAAATTAATCTCCTTTATGATCTTATCATGTCACTCCTCTGCTCAAAAACCTGTCATGTTCACTATTGCCTATAAAATCCTTAGCCTAGAATTTAAGTCCCTCCTCAAGCTGGTGCCACTTTTCTCACTTTCCTCATACTACTTTCCTCCACACATACTCCACTCCACCCAAGCTAGACAACCTGTTACCTCTTATCCATGTTAAAAGCACACTGGGTTTGGACCTAGAAGACATGGATTCAAATCCCAACTCTCTAAGAGTAAAAGGTACAGAGCAGTGGTGAATCCACACTAGTAGAGGGAATTTCCTCAGGAGTTCCCTGCATCAGTGAAATCGCAGGTATGTAAAGACAAAAACAAAACAAAGAAATTGTCCTTTATATATCATGACTAGGTTATGGCTACTCTTTCTATCAGTCTGGGAAGATGTCCTGGAGATTCCAGAACTGACTCATTGGGAGAATGGGATTGAGATGAGCAGAACGGTTTGGGGCGGGGCCGTAGGGGTGGGAGGCAAGGAAGAATAACAGCAATAGCTAATAATTAATAGCACTTTACAGTTTTCAAAGTACTTGATTTGATGTGTAGTATTTCACTGGATCTGAGTACAAAGTACACCAGACTTGGAATCAGAAAGATGACCATTTAGATCTTGGAGCCCATCACTAATTAGCAACTGGGTGGCATAAAGGATAGAATGGTAGACTTGGAGCCAGGAAAACCTGGACTCAAATCCCTTCTCAGATCCTTAGAAGCTGTATGTCTCTAGGTAAGTCGCTTGTGCTTTCTCTGTCTGTGGGTCACTTAAATTTTCTAATCTGTAAAATGGAGCTCATAATAGCATTAATGCATATTATGCATATAATAACATTAATAATTAAATAGCATCAGTTTCCCCATATGTACAATGGGCTTAATAATAGCACCTACCTCACAGGATTGTTATGAGCATCAAAGGAAAAAGCATATTATATATGTACATATATTATATATTCCACATATATGGTACTTTGCAAACCCTTGAAGTGCTATATAAATGTTATCTCTCATTATTAGTTCTGAACACTACACAAGTCCCCTGATCTCTCTGAGTCAGCTTCCTCAGCCATCAAATGCCAATAGCTGCTTCATAGGGTTGCTCTGGGGAAAGTGTTTTGCAAACTGTCAAGAGCTTTGCAAACATGACCTGTCATTACTAATACTGGGTGGTAGGCTGTCAGATGGGGCAAAGCTCAGAAGCACCCCAAACTTGAGCCCATTACCCAGAGGAACAAGCCTCCCAAGTCCAGCCTTGCAGGGCTTCCCAGAGGTTTTCTACTTACAATCCTATCCTTCAGGGAGATGAGCTCCTCCTCTTCCTTCTTTCGATTCTCAAAGTGAGCCTCGATCAGCGTCTGCAGTTCATTCAGATCCTTCTCCATGCGCTTCCGGTGGATGTCCTGCCAGAGAGGAGGACATACACATAGCATCAGACACTTGCATTTGGAAGGGAGCTTGGAGGTCATTAAATCCAACCCCTCATTTATACTTTGTGAAGATGAGGTCAATAGAGGTAAAAATGACTTCTTCAGGGTCACACAACTAGTAAGTATCTGAGAGAGGATTTGAACTCAGGTCTTCCTGACTCAGACTCCAACCACAACATTCTATGTACTTCACCTGAATCAGACTCCAACTCCAGCACTCTACGTATTTCACCAAACATCTAAGAAGACCTAGTCCTAAGTTAGGATTCCCAAGTCTGGAGTAGGGACAGGACGGTGGTGAGGAGTGAGACATCTCCCAAGCAGACAATCAGGCATGATGGTAGCCAATGGAGGAACCTGACATCCTCCCGAACAGTCCAGAGCAGATGTTGGCCAGGACTTCTGGCACTAGTTAGTGGTCTGGGTATGGCCTGACCGTTCTGGAGGGTAGAAGATCATCCCACCCAGATTGATTCCGACCCATACGGAGTTCCATCCTTCCGCATGGAGAAGAGTGCTCTTGACTTTCTGGCCTGCTCTCTGCAGACTCAATACTTACATCAAAATCCACTCTCTCCCCATCAGGGATCTTTGGTGGTATCAAGTTGGGCATGAATAGCCTGTAAGGAAGATGGAAACAAAGTTAGTGAAGATCACCCTCAACTGGATCATAAGGTTTACAACTGGAGGGGACCATTTAGTCCAATTCTCCCATTTTACAGATGAGGAAACTAGGGTCAGAACAGGGGAGTGGCAACTTGTTTAAAGTCCCAGGAAGTAAGGAGCAAAGCTGTTTTATAGGAAACCATAGTGAGCTAGGGGCATGACCTATTTCCTTTCTCCAAACCCCAAGCTTCCCCCGCAGTCAGCTCTCAGCTAAACTCAGACCAGTTATCTGGGTTGCAGCTTCTGCAACTCCAGCCTTCAAGACATTTTCCTGCTTGTTTAGAGGATGGGTCAATGAGGTCAGGGGAATGCAAGTCTGTCCAAGGTGCTCATAGGCTCATAGACAGCTTACTAGAGCCGGAAAGGACCCCTATGCCTTGTAGATTCACTGGGGGCACAGACTGTCTTTTATATATATATTTTTTTGTATCCACAGCACTTAGCACAGTGCCTGACATATAGTAGGTGCTTGATAAAAGCCTGTTGGCTGACTGACTGGTTGACTTCACATTCCTCTAGTCCAATCTCCTCCTTTTTTTAGATAAGTTTTTAGATAATTTTAGTATTTAGATAATTCAGATTTTTTTTAGATAAGTTCTTTGTGATCAGCTCTGGTGATAGGAATGGAATGGAGGGGTTGTCAGAAGCAAAGTCTAGGGAAGAGGTTCACGTTCTCTTCAGGTTTTGATGAATCAGTAAACCTTTATTAAGTGCCTACTATATTTCAGGCACAGTGTTAAGTGCTAAGGATGCAAAAAAAGGTAAAGACAGCCCTTGCCCTCAAGGAGCTCACAGTTTAATGGAAGAGACAACAAGCGAACAAATATATATAAAGCAAGCTATACGTAAGATAATAGGCAACAATTAACAGAGGGAAGCACACAATTAAGAGAAGATGAGGAAGGCTTCTTGTAGGAGGTGGAATTTTAGGTTTCTCTATGTTCTTGCTGCACAGCCAAGTGCCAAGCCTGGAGTCAGGAAGACATGAGTTCAAATCCAGCCTCAAATACTAACAAGCTTTGTGACCCTGGGCAAGTCACTTAACCCTATTTACCTCAGTTTTCTCATCTGTAAAATGAGTGGAGAAGGAAATGCCAAACCACTCCAGTATCTCTGCCAGGAAAACCTCAGATGAGGTCATGGAGAATCACACACAACACAACTGAAACAACTGAACAACAAATGTTCTTCCTCTACTCCGTTATTACCTCAAATGGAAAGAGTCTTAAGATCACAAGCTCATAGAGTGAGACCTTGAAGCGACCTCAGAGACCCTGGTCTGGCCTGTTTATTTTACAGGTGAAGAAACCACGCTGGACTCAAAGAAAGATGCTGCACTGCAGGTTTGTGGAAGAAAAAAGGTGTTGCACACTCACAAGGAAGACAGGATGGTATGATAGGAAGAGCATTGGATTTGCCAGAAGATGTGGGTTCAAAGCCTAGCTCTGCTTCGTACTAGCTGTGTGAATTTGAGCTCATCCTTTTAGCTATCTGAGCCTCACTGTAAATGAAAGGGTTGGACAAGAATCTCATCTCTAAGATCCTTCTGGCTCTAAACCCCAGGATCCTATGTCCCTATAAGGAATGAGGATTGTAATTAGGACTAATTTCTATTCATTTGAAGGTCTCATTGAAATGGAAAGAAACTTGAGGAGCTATTGAGATTCTGGCTGTGATGCATGTTTTCCCCCCTTTGTCCCCCTTTTCTCCATTCCATCTCTAGGCACCATCTGAAGATGGGTGAGAGTGGGGTCCTAGAGAACCTTTGATGGGGCACCTTGTTAAGGTCTCACTGAACGAAGGCTAACACATTTCTCCTCCTCCTTCTGCCTCTCCAGGTGTGCCTCTCAGATGTCCCTGTTATTGAGGCTAATGTAGAAAAAAAATGCTGGTTGGAAAGTTTATACCCTTAAGCCAGGAATTCTACTGCTAGGCAGACACTCGAAGGTGCTCACTGACAAAAAAGAAGGGCTCCCTCTATTCGAAAACATTTATACTTTTTGTGGTAGCAAAGAAATGGGAGCAAAGTAAACGCTCATTGATTGAAGAATGGCTTCAATAAATTTTGGTATGTGAATATAATGGAGTATTACGGTACTGTAAGAAATGATAAATACAGAGAAACTTGAAAAGACTTATACAAACTGATGCAAAGTGAAGTAAACAGTCAAAATCAAAACAATGTACCCAACGATTACAGTGACGTAAATGGAAAGAACAACCATCACAAAACAGAAATGAATGTTACAAAAATTACAAAACGTGAACTTGGCCCCAAAGAAGAGATACGAGGAGATATACCCTCCCACTCCTTTGCAGAGAGGTGTTTGTGGAGGAAGCTGGGTGGTGAGGGGATGCAAGTATGGAATATCATATATAGTGCCATTTTTTTCAATGTATTGGTCTGTTTTTGCTAATTTTTTTTCTTTTAAAAAATTCTTTGGGGGCAGCTAGGTGGCACACCGGCCTTGGAGTCAAGAGGACCTGACTTCAAATCCAGCCTCAAACACATGATACTTACTAGCTATGTAACCCTGGGCAAGTGACTTAACCCCGATTGCCTCACCCAAAAAAACAAAAACAAAAACAAACCAAAAAAAAGTTCTTTGACATATGCGACGACTGTCTGGGAGGGGGAAGAGGGAAGGATAGAAGGGAATAGTTAGGCTTGTATAAAAACAAAATAAAATCTATTTTTAAAAGAAAATACTGGTTGACTTCTGCCTAGGTGCCCCCCTTCCTTGTTGCGGCCTCAGCTGCGGGGGAGGCCCCTGATCTAACTCTCCCTTAGGTTGAGAAAAACTTCTAGCCTTTCCCTCCCTCTGGTCCCCTCTGCACCAATCTACATTTTCTCCATTCTGCTCTTTGGGGCAGGACCTGAAATCTCCCAAATGTATGACCCAGTCAAAAGGGTTTCATACTCACTTGGGTTTGGGTTTAGATTCCTCCACTGGGCCATCTAGAGAAGAGAGAGGAAAAACACGTACGAGTCAGGATACCTGGCTTCTAGTCCTGCTTTGCCCCTGACTCTTACCACCCGTATGGTCTTTCCAAAATTGCTTACACTCTCTGAGTCAAGCTCAGAGTTATCAACTATGATACCTTGGGCAAGCAATATCATCTCTTTTTTTTTTTTGGCTGGGGGGAGGGGGTAGGCAATGGGGCTAAGTGACTTGCCCAGGGTCACACAGCTAGTAAGTGTTATGTGTCTGAGGCCAAATTTGAACTCAGGTCCTCCTGAATCCAGGGCCGGTGCTCTATCTACTGTGCCACCTAGCTGCCCCAAGCAATATCATCTCTCTGGGCCTCAGTTGACTTCGGTGTAAAATGAATTCACCTCAGCAGTTATGCACTAACTCACCAGCAGAGGGCATGTAGGGAAGATCTAAACTTTCTAGAACTCAAATAACAGGCAAGCTCTATCTCCTCTCCCTGGTCCCCTCCTTTTGTGGGTGGCCGTGCTCACCCTGTTTGTCTCTGGACGTGGTCCATGTGGACTTATCCAATTACTGTCTTGATTTGGCTCAGCTACCAACCACTGGGAGAACTCTGCCCTCCTACCTTTGAGCTGCATAGGCACTGGACTCTAATCACAGGAAGCCTAGATATAAGTCAGTCACACCAATATCGTTTAGTTGTGTATGGTCATTACTTACAACTGTAGGATCAAAGGGATAAAAACCATAATATAATAGAAAAAATGCTAGGAGGAAAATCAAAATACATTAGAACACAGATGCAGCGTCTCCTATTCTCAGATCACCACAGGCTATAAGGAAGCAAGGTGCAGAAAGACTCAGAGTCAGGAAGTGTGTGTGTGTGTGTGTGTGTGTGTGTGTGTGTGTGTGTGTGTGTGTGTGTTCAGTCGTCTTTCAGTCATGTCTGACTCTTCATGACACCATTTGGAGTTTTCTTGGCAGTGATACTGAAATAGTTTGTTATTTCCTTCTCCAGCTCATCTTACAGATGAGGAAACTGAGGCAAACAGGGGTAAGTGACCTGCCCAGGATCACACAGCTAGTAAGTGTCTGAGACTGGATGTGATCTCACAACAATGAATACTCCTGACTCTAGGCCTAGCGCTCTATCCACTGTGCCACCTAGCTGCCCTAGACCAGAGTTCAAATTTTTCCCTAGGCAAGTCACTTAATTGTTCCAAGCCTCAGTTTCCCCAACTATAGAATGAGGATGAAAGCACCTCCCTCACATGGTAATTGTGAGGATAAAATTAGGTCTTATTTGCAAAGGGTTTTGCAAACCTTAAAAGCACTATGTAAATGGCAGCTATTTTAAGCACACCTCAAACCCATGGGTTCCTTGATATAGTTCAGGTGCTTACACCCAGAGAATAAGTATAACCCTTGCTATAGTTTTAAGAAAGAAGAGCTTCTCAGCTACTCCCTAATCACTAAGAATTTCAATTTTTTTTGCCTTTTTCTCCTCTAGTCAATTAGAACATTCCTAGAGAAGAAGGAGCAATGGAAAAGTAGGTCCCCTGTCTCCATCCCCTTTATTATACCCTCTCATCCCTAACAGGGGAAGGTAGACCTGAGTTCCCTTATGAAACACTATTGGTAGGTTGGGATTGAGTGTGCAGAGGATAACTCGAGCTGAAAGAAACCTCAAGCTCCTCTAGTCCATGATGTTCTTAATCTTTTTTGTATCATCAACTGATCCCTTGGGCAGTCTAGGGAAGCCTAGGTGCCCCTTTTCAGAATAATGCTTTTAGATAATGGACATGCCAATTTCTAGTTAGAGATGGGTGAAAATAAAGACTTTATCCAAGTTCATGGAACCCCTGAAATCTGTCCATGGACCTGTTGAGGGAGGTGGGGTGGTCTGTGGACCCTACCTTAAGAACTTCTGATCTACCAAGGAAATTCCAAAAGACTCATGATGGAAAATGTTATCCATATCCAGAGACAGCACTGACGTAGTCTGAATGCAGATTGAAGCATACTATATTCACTTTTTTGGGTTTTTTTTCATGGCATTTTCCTTTGGTTATATCCTTTAGCAACATGACTAATGTGGAAATATGTTTTACATGCTTGCACATGTATAGCCTATATCAGATTGCTTGCTGTCTTGGGGAAGGGGGAGCAGAGGGAGAAAAATTTGGATCTCTAAATCTTTCAAAAACTGAATGTTGGAAATTGTCTTTACATGTAATTGGAAAAATAAAACACTATTAAATTAAAAAAAGAACTCCTGACCTAGGTCAACCCCTCGTATCAAAAATGGGGAAACTGAGGCCCAGAGAAGTGAAATGACTTGCTCAAGGTCCCAAAACTGGACAGTAGCAAAACCAAGATTTGAAATAGGAGTCTTCTAACTCCCAATCCAGAGTATTTTCTCCTGTATCATGTTATGTGCATTTGATACTAAGATCTCCAAACTCCCAGGCAGATATAGCAGTGCCCCCACCACATGACTCCCTACCCCCACCTCTGAGTGAGGGAGATCTTTGGTAAATAGTCTTCCAAAGCTGCTACCCCAGAATTCCTCCCCTCCCACATCCCCAGCCCTCTCAGATTACTCCCCCTGGACTCTATGCAGGCCCACAAGGGTGAGTCACTCAAAGCTAGGGCAGCTGCTGGTGGTGTTTCAAGCCCACAGTAAGCCTCTGTCCTCTCTTTCTTCCAAACTATCCTCAACACCTGCTTTTTCTGCTAACCCATTCATGGTATATGCCCAAGGGACCACTAAAATGGGCATTCATCCGCCTGTAGATTACATACAGGAGAAGTCAGTTACTTCTCCCCATCTAAAGAGTACAAAGTAATTTGAGTGATTTAGCTTAAAGGAATGTGAATCCAGAAAAATATTCTGTCTCCCCACCCCCATCCTCCAAATCATCTTGCATATATAGAAATGTTTTTTCATTATCTGCTATTTAGGGTTCTCAGTTATTTGGGGCTGTCTATACCCAACAGGATCTTAGAAAGGCAAGGGTTGAGTGTACACTGGGGAGACATCTCTTCCTCTCCATGCACCTCCATTCTCCCATCCTTCTCCTATCCTCAGCCGAATGGCCAAATGCTAGCTACAGCCCAGGACTCCATTGGTTTAATTGCTGTTATGTGGGATCTGGGCCAGCTAAATGGTGCAGTGGTTAGAGTCTGGGCCTGGAGTCAGGAAGACCTGAGTTCAAATCTGGCATCAGACACTCACTAGCTGTGTGACCTTGAGCAAATCATTTCACCCTGTTTGCCTCAGTTTCCTCATCTATAAAATGAGCTGGAGAAGGAAATGACAAACCACTCCATTATCTTTGCCAAGAAAACCCCAAATGGGGCCACAAAGAGTCAGACATGACTAAAAATGACTAAACAACAACAAATGGGAGATCTACAATAAGGTGGTTGGAGCACTACACAGGGTCTTTTTATCTGCCTTAGATTCAATTTATTTCTGGGTAACCTGGGTAAATTGTCAGGGATTTGGAAGGTATAAACATAGAGATTTTGACATCCCAACCATGTGTCTGCCAGAGTCTTCTCCTATCCATCTGCTCTAGCACATCTTTCCTCTTCACTTCACTCACCCCATTTGGAGTCTAGAACATCTCCACCAGAAGGAGAAATATGAGCAAAGCGCCCCCTCTCCTTCCTTCCCCAGCTATTGGAAACCTCTTCCTCCCTGCACCCTATGTCCACCACACTCCAGCTCACCTCCACACAGATCAATACCGTCCCCAAATTACCTTCCACTTCTTTAACTTCTTCTTCTTCTGTTTCTAAAGAACAAAAAAAGGCAGGTAAAGGATACAGTCCTGAGCTCCAAGAGTCTTACATGAATATAACCTTTCCCTTGCTACTGGTCTGATTGTCAACCACAGAGAAAGTTCCAGCCTGTTCACTGGACTATCTGTGGTTGGTTCTGAATGAGAGACTCTCTGATCCTAAAGGCCATTATTCCATGGTGGAATTCTCTTTGAAACAAAAATATGAAGGGAACCTTCATAACTAGCCAGGCTATTTAAAAAAAGAAACTTTTAGGTTCCTCTAGGTATCTAACTCTCACTTCCCTCATCTTGACTATCAATTCCACCTCCCCCATCCCACTGCTGTACCTTCTACTTGCACGCTTCAACCTCTGGCTCAGCCTCTTCCTCTTCAGCAGCTGGCTCTTGTCCTGGATGATGGGGAAAGGGCAGTGAATGACTGGGATTTCTACTTTCCTTGATAACGCAGATTCTAGAGTAGACAATTAGGACTAAGGACAGAGAAAGGACCTTGGAAATAGACTCAGAGAGGCACATATTGTAGTTACAATCGGGACACAGACTGAAATTGGAGACCCTGTTCTGGGTAATAGAACCTACTCATATCTTCACCTAAGACTCAAGCCCAGGAAATAGCCAGAAATTTAAGAAGGAACACTTGGAAGTGAATTTTCATTTCATTCATTATGTTCAGTTACAGTCACCAGAATTGGGAGCAGGGGTGGTGGTGGTGGTAAGGCATTAATAAACTATAGCATGGAAGATAATCCAAAGAAGGCAGTCAAGATGGTGAGGAGAATGCTATAAAAACATCTAGCAAAGGAATAGCTGATGTGTAACTGGAGAAAGGGAGAGAAAAGGAAAGCAAGGGAAAGGCAAGGCAAGGCAAGGCAAGGGAAAGGGAAAGGAAAGGAAAGGAAAGGGAAAGGGAAAGGGAAAGGGAAGGGAAGGAAGGGAAGGAAGGGAAGGGAAGGGAAGGGAGGGAGGGAGGGGAGGGAGGGGAGGGAGGGAGGGAAGGGAGGGAGGGAGGGAGGGAGGGGAGGGAGGGAGGAGAGGGAGGAGAGGAAGAGGAGGAGGAGGGAGGAAAGGAAAGGAAAGGAGAGGAAAGGAAAAGGAAAGGAAAGGAAAAGGAAAGGAAAGGAAAGGAAAGGAAAGGAAAGGAAAGGAAAGGAAAGGAAGGAAAGGAAGGAAAGGAAAGGAAAGGAAAGGAAGGAAAGGAAAGGAAAGGAAAGGAAAGGAAAGGAAAGGAAAGGAAAGGAAAGGAAAGGAAAGGAAAGGAAAGGAAAGGAAAGGAAAGGAAAGGAAAGACCAAGAAAAGAGAAGGGAAGAGAAGGAAAACTAAGGGGACAGAAAAGAAAGGAAAGGGAAAGAGAAGGCTTAAAAATAAATGATTGCTGTCTTCAAACATTTGAAGAGATATCAGGTAGAAAAAGGATTTGACTTGGTCTGTGTGGTCCTAGAGAAGAGGCGATGAGTAGAAGTTGCAGAGAGGCAAATGCTAGTTCCAAGTAAGGAAAAACTTCCTAACAATTAAGCCTATACCAAAGTGTGACGGGCTGTCTCAATAGACAGTGGGTTTTCTATTACTATAGGTCTTTAAGTAGAAACTGGATGAATACTTGCCAGAGATTTTGAGAGGATACTCCTGTTCAAGTCCAGTGCAATTCAACTCAACATTTACTAAGCTTCAATTATCTGCAAGGTAAAGTACTGGACACTGAGGATACACTGACAAAATGAAACACTCCCTGTCCACAGGGAACTTGCATTCTGCTGATGTTCCTTCCAACTCTGAGATTCCATGATTCTAGTCTGTTAGGGATAGAGGAGGAAATCTGACCTTTTTGAGTTTGGGGGTGGGGGTAGGGCTTGATATCTGTCCACTAAGACTTTTCTAAAAGTATACAAAAACTGGAAAGTGAAGGTGGTCTGGTCATCACCACAAAAGAATGATACATCCAGACTTGCATTGCTCTGAGTACAAGACAGTGGAGACAGATGACCTCAACATGTCCAATGAGCTGGATTGGACTGGGTCAGTCTGCCATATTTCAAAAAGGCAAGGGAGAAGCAGCTAATTGGACCTTTCCTTCACCCCCCAACCCCTTCCTCAATGGCAGCAAAAAGGACGTTACCAGTAGAATGCAAGTTCTTGAGGGCAGGACTGTTTCTTTTTTGCCTTACTATCCCTAAGGACTAGGGCAGGTCTTGAACCTAGTAAATAATTAACAAATGTTTGTGGCATTGAATGAACAAATCCTCTGAATTTTTGTTATGAAAGTTCTATCCATTGACCTGATACCATATGAAACTATTTCCACTCTTGGGGTAGGGGTAGGGGAATGCAAAAAGGAAAGAGGAGTTGTTCCACCCTGGAATCTTGTCCCTTTCTTGTATGAAGTTAGTACCATCTTTGAAAGTAAATCTCTTAAGTCTAGAGAGACTTGTTCATATGGAGCAACCACGGTGAGACTGTGAGCCTACACTATACTCAAAATATCTATATGTTGGACAAAATAAAAGTTGGCTAAATATTTCTGTTTTCATCCATATATTTGTATAAAAATAGTCCATCCACCTTATAATAGACAGGTGAAAGACAGTGTACCATCTAGGTCACAATTCCTATAATCTCAATGGATCTGTGGTCATATCACCAGTGGTGGTGATCTCAGCTCTTCCTCCTGCTCATCCTGAGTGACTCTTGTCTATGCACTCCTATAAATGTACCCCCAGAGTCACCCAACATGCTAAGGACTTTCCTTTCAGTTTCTTGCTGTTGGATGGATAGCAATAGAGTATTTGTTGCGGGGTGTTTGTCAGTTATCTTTCACTCTCCATAACTGACTAGCTTATCTTTTTATCTCATCATATATCTGATGACATCCTTCAATGCCATTCCTTCTACTCAGTTTGTAATGCAGCATAGTACCATGGACACATACTTGTTAGTTACTGATTGATAAAGTGATGGCATCTTTATTGGGTAGAAAGGAAAGTCTTGGTGACTGAAAAAGTCTGGTTAGGAGGCTTAGACACAACATTAGAATTATAGAGGTCCTCAAGTGCATTAGTCCAAAGCCTTATTTTACAGGTGAGGAAACTGAGGCCAAAGGGAAGTAAAGTGCAGCGTCTACAGTCAGGCAGCCAGTTAGTGGTGGAGCTGGGTCTAGAACCCAAGTCTCTTGACTTCCAATCCAGTATTCTTTACAATGTATCATTCTGAGGCCATGACCCAGTATTTTTAGGATCTCCTAGCCCCTCTCACTTTCCTTGACTGTGGAGATAGGCCTCTCTGACTTTCTCCCATAGCAGCAAGAGGAGGAAAAGTTTCTTCTCTAGTAGCATGTCTGCCTCCAGCAGGCGGTGACCTCTTAGACCTTGTAGATTGATGGAGAAGGAGGGGAGGGGAAGCAACCAGGAAGTAAAGAGGTTGAGAGGACCCCAATTGTCCAGGTCCCCAAGAGAAAGATGTGGGACAAATAAAAAAAAAGAGTAGACAGCCCTGAAAAAGGCAGAATTCTAGGGCCATTATCAGTGGCCATGGAAGGACTAACAGAAAAAGGACAGAGACAGAAACACATGAACACTCTGATCAACCCCTCTCCTCCTCCCCATTGCAGGTAACATATATGGTTATCTCCCCACCAAAAAAGTCTGGGGTATGTCATTGTGGCAAGTTGTAGGAAGTGTAGTAAAATGAAATATTGTACTACCGTCCTCTTCCTCTATCCAATCTTCCTCTTCCGAGGCACAGGGAGTGGCAGCAGCGAAGGGGAAAAGTGAGAAAGGTTAGTTTGGCAGCAGAAAGCCAAGGATAATAGCGGACATTGTATCCTTATCTTCCATTATCTCCTCTACCAGCCAGAAACTCAAACTCACAATTGTCCCACCTCATTTCAGTTATAAACATTAGTAGAGCTATAGAAAATTTGTTAGGCCACGTAAGGGACAGCTAATGTGGTAGGGTGGAAAGAGCCTTGAACTTGAAATCAGGAGACCTGGTATTTAACCAGCCATGTGGCCAGGGATGAGTAATTTTGTTTCTCTGAGCTTCTGTAGGTTGGTTTGGAAATCCCGTCATGGCTAACATAGCAATGTAGCTGCTAAAGAAGAACACATTAAATCACACGCTCTTTGATGCTTCTTTGAGCTCAGGACGCCACCAAACAGGAAAGCATTAAAGGCAAATCCCAGTACACACAGAGGACACATTGATCCCAAAGCCAAGAAACCTAAGCCCCACCCAAGACCCTGTTGTAAAAAGTTGGCACATCTCCCAGGAACCTAGCCCCAAGGGTGACCCACCTTACACAGATACTTTCTGGAATGCCAGTGCAGGTCTGAGTCCAGCTGTGGTGATTCAAGAAATTCCCCAAACAGCTCCCAAAGCACTTGGTGGTCTTCAAAATAACCCTCTCACTCTTGCCCCCCTCTTTTCCCTCCTCTCATCTTCTTGCCCCTGCTCCCCCAAATTTGATTTCTCCCATAAGCAGAGATAGATATTATCCCAAAGGCCATTTGGCCTGTGAGGTAGCCTGCACGAGGGAATAAATTATGCATTTGGCAAGGAAGGACACTTGCTAATTTTGACCTCCGACCCACTCCTAATGTCATCACACAGGAGATGACCAAAGCCTGAAAAATCTCTCCATAGGAAACTCACTTCCTGACTTTAAAAGCTACATGTAATGACTTGACCAGAGAATTAGCTTGGCCTATAAAAGGGAAGTTGTCTGAGTTGGTTTATGCATACCACAGAAATGCTTTTTTTTTTCAGACATTTTGATGGTTTGAGGTCCTACTTGTCATTTGGACAATGTGGTGGAGCAAGGACATGTTATCCCTTAAGGATTTCTATCGTGTTAGCATTTTAAGGAAACAGAAATGCTAAATCCTATGGTCATCCAATGAGATATGGGCACATCTGTTTACACCATCTAGGTCTCATAGTTGCTATTTCCCCCCATGTTTTTCTCTCATCAGAATGTGAACTCCTTAAGGACTGGGACGTGTTTTTGCACTTCTTCATATCCCCTGCTCTTGAGACACTACCTTGGAATATAGTAAATGCTTAATAAATACTTGCTGACTACTGACTCACTGAGGGAGCTGGAAAGAGAATAGTTCATGCAGTAGGGAGTGGTTTTGGAAAAATGGCAGAAAGAAATGGGTAGCTTCTTTAAAGGAAAGGGGTTGAAATATTTTAGCTAGGCCCCTCAGGGGAGCCACCTCTACAAGATTTGATAGAGGGAGTTTCCTCACCTGGGAATTCCATATCATTGAAATCAGAGGTCCAATTCCTAGACCTAGACCCTATGCATGGGGAAGGAGGGCTTTTGATTGGTCTGTTAAGAATGATCAGTTTTGGCTTTCTGATTGGAATCTACCTGGTGGGGAAAGTTAGAATGGAGAATCAGATGGTTCAGAGATTACAGGCTGTCCTTGATTCCATGGACCAATCTCCCTTCTCCCCATTATATACACTGAAATATACACTGAAATGATTCTAGACACTTACCTTCCTCAGCCTCTTCTATGTGAAGAAAGAAGAGAGAAGAGAAAAAAAGGAGAGATGAGTGAGTTTCAAAACAAAACTTCTTCTGATCCAAATGATGACGAATCTCCTGCTCTTACCTTCCTGCTCCCTGAAAAGAAAAATGAAATGCTATTCCATGGTGAGCCAACAGATAGTCCTTCACAAGCTTTTATTCTTCTTACCTACCTACACATATACACACACATATGACATATAAACACACAAACATGCACATGAATGTATGAACACAAACATGCCCTGCCTGAACTTCCGTGTGAAGGTGCCATTCAAGCCCCTTCACCATCTTGTTCCAACCTGTCTTTACCATGTAATCTCCCACTACTTCCCTAAATGCATTCTTTCTTCTAGCCACACTGCTCCCAGGAATGTTTTCCTCATTCTCAACCATTTCATTCATGTTATTTCCCACTTGCTCCACCCCCTAACCTCCAACTATGAAAATACCTTTCTCTCCTCTCTTTCCCTATCCAAATCCTGAGTATTCTTCAGGGCCCAGTTTAAGTCCCATCCTCCATAAAGCCTTCCCTGGTTATTCCTGCCCACAGTGATCTCTATCTACCTCTTCTGCCTACATTATTTATAATATTTATCCTATAGTATTTATCCAATAGTCTCTATATCCTATAATATACATCCTACAGTATTTATGACTCAGTTTCCCCATCTGTAAAATTGGAATAATTATAGCACCTACCTCCCAGGGTTGTTGTGAGGATAAAACAAGACAATATTTGTAAAGTACTTTGCAAATCTCAAAGTGATATACACATGCTAGCAATTATTATTGTTGTTGTCATTATTGTTATTATTAGTATTATAGTTAGGGCCACTCGAGTTCCTTGAAGGCAGGGACTGTGTCTTCTACTTCTTTTATCCCAGAACACCTAATATATTGCAGGTGTTTAGTAAGTTTTTGATTAATTTCTACTACTGATGTGTCATGAATATTGAACATGAGTTAGAAAGTTAATAATAATATCCCAATGTCTTTGGATGAGCTTACCTCCCAATACTCTAATTTAATTACAAGTCATTTATCCATCTGCATAATAGTTCACAGAACAGTAGAGTAGGAACTGGCTTTTGCCTTTATCTGTATCTCCAATGCTTAGCACAATACTTGTCACATAGTAGGCACCTAATACATGTTGATTGACTAACTGACTGACTCCTTAAATATGAAAGAATAATAACAGGCTAGTGACGTGTTCCAGGACCATTTCTATCTGAACTCAATCAAAAAGATAAGCTTGATAATATTGATAACACATTTATACAACACCTTCTGGTTTACAAAGTGCTTTTCTGTTAAAGAGAAGACTTGTGATTTTATCTGAGTGAGAAACTCCTAGTGAGGAAACTCTTTCCTTCTGAGAAAGGCTGAGAGGTGGTACACTACACAGAGCCTTGTGCCTGGAGCCAGAAAGATTGGGTTCAAATTTACCCTGGGATACTTACTAATCATGTGACCCTGAAGAAGTCACTTAACCTCTGTTTAATGTTAAGTACCTCAGTTTCCTCATCTGTAGAATAAGGTAATAATAGCACCTATCTCCCAGGGTTGCTGTGAGGATCAAATGAATAGATAACAATTCTTTTGTACAGTCCTTGTCACATAGTAAGCACTACATAAATGTTAGCTATTGTTATTAATAGCACCTATTTCTTTAGGCTGTTGTGAGGATCAAATTAGATCATATTTATAAAATGCTTAATAAAGTACCTGGCATATAGTAAGTGCTTAATAAATGCTTATTGAATTTCTTGCATAATTTGCATGTATATTACGCATATAATGCATAATAAATGCTTCCCTCTCAATGCAGATCAGAGATTTCCCTATAATTTACTGTCCCTGAGAATTGCCTGGGACAGTGAGAGAAGGTCTTCCCTGTTCCCAAAGTCAGATTACTACTCATTAAACTAAGCCATTTCTTGCAGAGCCCAAAATGGCAGTCTAGGTTCTTTGGGGATGACATTGCCTATGTGACCTAGGATGACCCATATAACCTTTCCAAGCCTCAGCTTCTCAACAGGATCACCTTCCCAGTTGACTTGGCTCCTTGGATCATTCACCAGCCTCTCAAACAGGTAGAATGTTTGTTTCCTTTCCTCCCCACCCCACCCAATCCTGCTAGGATTCTGAAATCTGATCCTGCCAAACTTCTAAATCCGTCTCCAGTCCTAAGGTAATGGCTGTGATAGGAACCCCTCCATAGACAGTGTTGAAAATGAAGAGTCATTTCCAGGTAAACCTCTCCAGGGACTCCAGAGAATGGACACCCCAAAGGGGTGGACGACCAGGGACTGAGAATGAAGAAGACATAGAACACAGAAAGCCAGGGAGGGGAAGGGGCCTGCCACTTACTCTTCATACTCCTCCACGACTTCTTCTGTGTCCGACATAGCGTCTGCTGCCCCTCCAAAGAGAAAGAAAGTCAATGGCTGGAAAAGAATCAACACAACCATCTTCCTTCCTCGGCTCTGTGAGAAGGATTGCAGTGGTGGATGGAGGCTTGGGAAGGGGCAAAGGCAGGGCCTTTTGAGGGTTCTCTTGGGAGCCTCACATGGGGGCTTCCCATGAGTCTTCAGCCTCTGTTCATTGCATTCTTCAAGGCAAACACCCTGGCAGTACTACCCTTTGACAAGCTTCACTCATGGCAGTAGGAGTCAGATGATCTAGGTTCTGGGCCTATTTCCTCCAAGAATTTGCTGTGTTTGTGTGTGTGTGTGTGTGTGTGTGTGTGTGTGTGTGTGTGTGATTTTGTGTAAAGCACTGGATTTGGAGTCAGAGAAACTGGGTTCAGATTCTCTTACTACCTGTATAGTAAGTACAAGCCACGTAACCTCTCTGGACCTTGATTTTCCCCTCTGCAAAATGAGGAGGTTGAATCAGATGAATGAATTCATAAATGAATGAAGATACTATGCTATGGAAATGCTTGTTTTATTTCTTAAGTTCAGAATAAAATAAATAATTTTTTTAAAAATTGAAAAAATCACAGGTCTAGTTTGTCTCCTTACCAAAAAAGTTAAAAATAAGCAGAAATATAACATCTAAAAATAAAAATAAATGAATGAAGAAATGCTTATTAAGCAGGTGCCAGTACCAGACACTGTGATACGTCTGATGATACAAACATAAAAATGGAGCCAGTCCTGCCCTCAAAGAGTTTGCATTCATATGGAAGAAGATAACACATTTGCTAGCTAGCAAGGGAGAGCTGTAACTTTGTAAGAGAAATCATAGGGATGGTGAGTGGAGTCATATTGGTTGACATGACCTTTCCAAGAACAGTAGGGAAACACTAATAATCTGAGTCTCATTAAAGCAGCACTTCAAGAGTTTCTCGAAGTCATGTTCCTCAGAGCAAACAGTAGACATCCTTTCTCTCTCTATAGCTAGATGGTGTAGTGAACAAGAGTGCTAGATTGGGAGTTAGGAAGATTTGAGCTGAAATCTAGACTTAGACACTTACTTACTATGTGTAACCCTAGACAACTCACTTAATCGCTATCTGCCTCAGTTTCCCTAACTATAAAACAGGTTTCGTAATAGCACCTGCCTCCCGGGATTGTTGTGAAGATCAAATGAGATAATATATGTAAAGCACTTAGCACAATTCCTGGCACATAGTAGGTGCTTAATAAATGCTTTTTCTCTTCTCTGTTTCTCCCTCCTTCTCTCTCTCTGCTTCTTTCTTTGTTCCCCCCCCCTTCTCCCCCACCTCCTCCTCTCTGTTTCTATATCTTGGTATATCTTGGTCTCTATCTCTGTGTAAATATCTGCTTGTCTCTCCCATCTAGAAATACTGCCTGGCTAGCGGCACATCTTACTCTTGAAATTTGGACCAAGTCTGTGAGCTACTTGTGTTCTTCAGAGCCATCCATGAGTCACACATCTAGAACCACTGATTTAGGGTGTCCATTTTCATGGCAGTCTCATTTGGTCCAAAGTGGTTCCAAGAGAGACTGATTCTAAATGGGCCGCACCTCTGGGCTGGGTCCCCTGCTGTGTGTGTGGCATGTGTATGTATGTTCAAGACTACAGTCCATTGGGCTCTGAGGATCTTCTGGTCCCTGATCTAGATTTATCCTACTCCCACCCAAAAGAACACAAAGAAATGAGCCTAGCCTTGGGAACTTAGTGAGCCAATCATCTGTACCTCTCTGGGCATTTGGTCTTGCAAGTGGCCCATCCCCATAGTGTGGTCCATGCCCCTGCCAGGGTGGGTTGGTGAGAAGTTTTCTCAAGAAAATGGAGCTTTGTTTGGGCCCCCGGAAATGTTCTCTTGAGTCAACAGCCTGCCAGCCCCACCCCCACTTGCCATCACGTTCCCTCTGCTCTATCTGACTGTATCCCCCATAAAGACTTTAAACATGAGGGCTGTGGGACAGATAAAGGGTAAGTCAGGCCCTTCTCCATGTACCCTGGCACCACCATCCGTCTCCAGAAATAGCAGTCAGGATATGAAGTGGGTGATGCAGTTCTAACAGTCCCAAGATCGTAGCCAACCTAATCTCTCACTGAGGGACAAGACTAGAGGGAGGGGAGCAGGGCTAGTGGTCCCCAGAGCTGGGCGTCTAACCTCCTTGGTGGATTAGATAAGGACCTGATAGAAGCAAGCTATGAGTATCCTAAATCTCCTCTGTCCCTAGTACTCAAGTCACCATCTTCTTCTATAGATTCCACCTGCAGCTGTTAAAAGCCACACCAAACTTGAGTCCTCCCATCAGTCAGTCAGTCAGTCTGTCATTCAATAAGCATTTATTAAGTGCCTACTATGTGCCAAAGAAGCAGTGACTATAATTGTCAAAAATTATCCATTGTACTAGGTAATCAAGATTCATAGATAATAATACATTTTGGTTAATGAAGCCCTTTCCACACAACTCTTAAAGGTCAGTAGCTAAAGTATTATTATCTGCATTTTACAAACAGAAACTGAGATTTGTCCATAGTTACGCAGCTAGTAAGTGTCAGAGCCGGGACTGGAATCCAATTATCCTGGTACACTTTCCTCTACCATATATTGGCAGCAGAACTACTCATTGGGAGGGGTGGGGACAGTGAGTTAGCGTTAATCTCAAGATTAGGACTCGTTTCTCAGGACTCTTAATCCAATGCTTTTTTCCACTGCTCAAAGCAGCTTCCGAAGTTCTTTCTAACTCTAAGATACTATGTGATGTGCTTTTTTCATTGCTCTTAATAGGATATTTGGTGAGGACAGTCCAATAGGGCATGACGAAAGGGAGTGTATTTGAAGGAGGTTGGGAGAGGGATCCAAATGTGACCAAGAAACACTATTTATGTGACCTTGGGCAAGTCACTTTCCGTCCCTAGGCCTTGGTGTTTTCCTCTGTGAAATGAGGGTGTTCCGACTAGATGATCTTTAAACCTCTGCTAGCTCTAACACTGTGTGGTTCCAAGGGGAAGGTACACCAGATGAAGGACTTAAGCTTCTCCTGTTTCAGTCTTTGTCGTCACGCTCCTGCTTTGTCAAGTCAACAAACATTTAAGTGCCTACTATGTGCCGGGCACTGTGCTAAGAATCCGGGGATATGAAAAAAGTGAAAAACAGTCCCTGTCTCCCACCCTCCCCCAAGAACCCACATTCTAATGGGGGGGAACCTAGCATTCATATAGAGCTTTAAGGCTGGCAAAGAGCTTTACATGTGTAATCTCATCTGATTCTCATACATCGGTGCTATTATCCTCATTTTATTGATGAGGAAACTGAGGCTGAGAGAGGTCGAGTGACTTGCCCAGGGTCATACATCAAAGTGTCTGAGGCAGGATTTGAACTCAGATCTTCCTAACTCCAAGTCCAACACTATCTGTGTACCATCTTGTCTCTCATAAGCCTGTAGTTGCCCTTCCATTTTACCCATTGTGAGGTTGGGGTGGGAGAGTGGTTCAGGACGGGAACATGAGGCAGAGATCAAGGCTGAAGTTTAGCTCCTGACCTTTTCAATACCTTGATATGTACCTAATGCCTAATTCCTTCTCTGCTCTTTCTCTGAACAGAGAAATGGTCCTGTGAGGGGGGCAGTAGAAAGGTAGTCAGCAAGGTGGCATAATTTCCCAGGAAGCATGGAAGGTGAAGGGGTCTTGAGGTTTTAGGATACTCAGCTAGGTAGGCAGCTAAGTGGTGCAGTGGATAGAGTGCCAGGCCTTCAGGGTGGGGAGGCTGCAGTGCCTTTCAGTCCTCCGGTGCAGCCCTTTGACTGAATCCAAACTTCACAGAACAAATCCCCTTAATAAAAGGATTTGTTCGTAAAACCTGGACTTGATCAAGGACCTGAGGACCTGAGGACCTAGAAGGCCACATGTGACCTTGAGGCTTCAGGTTCCCCACTCCTGCCTTCAACACTTATTAGCTGCATGACACTGGGCAAGTCATTTAACCTCATTTGCCTCTGTTTCCTCATCTAGAGAAGGAAATGGCAAAGCATTCCAGTGTCTTCGCCAAGAAAACCCCAAATGGGCTCGTAAAAAGTCAACTGAAATGACTAAACAACAACAAAGAATAGGATCCCCAGAGAAGCAGAAATTGCCTGGCTGCACTTATAGTGCCTGGCACATAGTAGGTGCTCAATAGATACTTGTTGATTGAGTGATAGAAGTAAGCAGAAGCTGACCAACCATTTTCCAGAGATATTGTGGAGATAATTACTACATCAGGTAATCCAAAGAGTAAGGGCCCTATGGACACTAACATTCTGAATTCCTTACACTCCCCAGACCCCCTAAATGTTTCATCAGCCCTCTAGGAGGACTCTGAGGGGGGGAAGGGGGAAAGCCACTTGTCTAAACTAAATAAAGGTGTTACCCTGGAGAATAGGGGAGGGGAGGGTCTCACCAACTGCTGTGACACAGCATAGACATCAGGAAATACTTGTGGAGACAGCTGGACTTGGTGTTAACCCCTTCCAACTAATGAGAGAAGACCAAACCTCAAACACACATTAATGAAAGGTCTCCCTAAGCTGTCTCCTCACACACTAAACTCATTCCCAAAATCTTCAGAAAGGAAGGAGCCAAAGAACTAATCTGAAGTGTATACTGTCTCCTCAAAGTGTCAGCATGGATGGAAGTTTCAGAAGTCATAGTATCAACCTTTTTGCCTGTGGATTTTTCTCTTTCTTGAGTCTTCGTGACATTTCCCAGGTCCCCAGAACGAGGTCTGGTACACAGGGGTGGAGATGAGAAATCTCAGGCTGTGCTCTCAGTGAGGAGATTTAGGCTTTTAGAATTAAAATTTTCCCCCACCCATCACTCCCTCCATCCCTCTTCCCTACCCCACCCCCAACCTGAAAAGATCTAGGACAGTATATGCTTGCCTAGAGACAGGAGAATGGACCTAGTGAATCCTGGTGGTCTCTGGCAAGTCCTAAATTAGATCTCACCCCTCCTTTCAGAGCTTTTGTTTGCAGTTTCTCACCCAAATGTGGTGACCTTGACTTTGGGAAGTCACCCAGATCTACAACTCATATTTCCCCATACTAAGACTTAGACAGACCAACAGCCTTTCTCTGTGCAAAGGTGTCAAGCACTTCCCTCCTTTCTTCCCATCCCTGGTTCTGCCTTCCCCTTTCTAGAGACTCAGGCTGGAGGCTTACCTTGGGCTGGGCTCAACAGAGATCTTGGTTAGTGTCTGCCCGTTGGGAACTAGCTGTAGGCAGGGGGAAGGACAAGGTTTTAAGCATGAGCGTGAGAGACCCTGGTCCCAGGAGCCAAGTCCCGCAGTGAAAGGAATGTGTCGACACAGGCAGTGGGGCGGGGAATGGGTTGCTGCTATTTTGGCAGGTGCTGAGGACCAGACTGAGGAATTTGTCCCCCATGCCTTATATGCCCAAGCTATTGTCCAGCTGCTGAGACAGGCTATTTTAAACTAGGGCAGATATGGGGGGACCTGGTCGGGAGGTGGGTGGAGGGGAGAGGGATGTGACATAAGCCAGCTGTCTCTCTTGAGAAGTCTGATAAGCAGATGCTGAAGGCTGCGGCCCCAGAAATTGGGAGAGCCAGGATGGGAACAGGCTAGTGGGGATGGATAGATTTCAACCTTAAAACTCAGTCACTGTCCCTGCAATTTGGAACATGGCTGGCCCAGGCACCATGGGGGGGGGGAAGGGTGTGTGCAAGATGACATTCCTGAGTTCTGTATCATACTTGAAAAGATATTATGTCATCTGGTCCTCTCACCTCCCCAATAATTGGTTGTGTGACCTTGAACACTCCACTTTCTTTCTGGGCCTCAACTTATAGGAATTGGGGCGGCTGACTGATGGATTAGAAGGGTCCATAAAGATCATCTCTTTTGACATCTCATCCAGAGAGGAGTCAACTGGTTTTCCATTTGTAAAGCCAGATTGTGGGGTCTAACTCTTCTCCTGGGATCTGTGATGTGGTGGGAAGGCGTGGGGTCCCAGGGAAAAGAAGAGTGGGTGGGCAGTGGCCCCTAATGAAAGGAATTAGAGTTTGGACACCCAGGAGACTTTTTGACTAATGGAAGCAGTTGGGGCACAGGCAGAACAGACAGCTGGGGTGGGAAGGGGTGGGGTTTGAGCACCTGTTTCCCTGGAGGTCTCTACAAAGAAAGATACACAGGATTGTGGTTGTCAAAAACCTTGATGGAGTTGAACAAGCACTCTTTTGTGGAGAGATGCAAGGACAGGTGGGTGAGACAGGGCCTTTAGAATGAGGGGCTGCTGGAGCACTGCTTTCCTCTTCATCCTGGCCCATCTCCCTTGCTGATCTCGTCTACAGCCCAGAATGCCAGATAAAATAGTTGTAGCTTGCTTCCCAGAACCTATGTTCCTCTATTGCTGGCATTAAAGGTACCTAGCTCAAAATTAATCAGGATATATTGTGGAGTCAGAAACAATTTTATTTCAGCTCTGAGAGGAATTCTGCTATGATTGGAAGAAGGAACCAGGCAGTTTCCATCAAGGTATGCCAAGTGAGGGGAGAGAAGGGTCAGGGAAAACAGACCAGAAAGAGCTCATGAGACCAGCTCAAGCTTGAGGTCTACTTCAAATGCTGCCTCCTCCATAAAGTCTTCCCTGATCTCCCAGATGGAAGAGACCTTTCTCCTCTCAGCTCGCAGCACTTTGTATTCTTTCATGCATTTGTCATATTCCAGTTTTCATTATATTTATATGTGTCCATGCCTCATCACCTTCCCTTAGAGGAAAAGCTCTTTGAATGGAGGAGCAGATCTTAGCTGTCTTTGTAAGTGTTCCCATGCACCTGTATCTGTAGGTCACAGACCTGTGCACACACACTGATGGGGGCCTTGGAAGCTTGCTCAAGGCAGGAACCTTTATCACACTACAATGTGCTACAATGGAATAAAAATGTTGGATCTAGGCAAGTCACAATCTCTTTGGTTCAGTCTCCTCATCTATAGAATGAGGGAGTTAGGCTAGGTGACTTCTAAGGTCTTGTCTAGTTTGAAATACATGATCCTCTGATCTCTCCTACCAGCCTTAGCTGCATCCTGACTTGGGGTGGGGAGGGTTCAGATGTCCCCTACTAATCCAGGTCAGTTCTGAGAGTGAAACAAGGAAGACTCCTCCAGCCAGGCAGGATTTTGTCTAGGGCTAAATAAACTCACCTTCTCCCACACCCCAGACAGTCCTGGAGTACAATGGACATGGAAGAAATATCTGGGATAAACTGAATGATTGAAGGTGGGTCAGTTCTGCCCCTGCTTGGCACAGTCTCTGTCATACAGGGGGTGCTTAATAAATGTTTATTGACTGACTGTTTCTGCCAGGGCTCTGAGCTGCTCTCAGGAGTCGCCCAGGATCCTGGCCAGTTACTGAACCCAGCATGAGCACTCATCTTACCCGTGCCAATCTAGTCTCCTTCAAGGCATCCAAGGGTTATTATTAACTCTTGATTTTTCCACAGAGAGAAAGGAACATGAACTTGGATGCTCTAAAACCACAGATAACCCCAAAACTGATGCCAAAGCATCTGGAAGATGCCACGGGATTTGTAGAAGGTAACAAACCAGCAGTTGAAATGAAGCTTCTAAATGATTTTGCATTCCCTGAGCACACAGGGGTTAATGCATCAGGTTAATAGGAGTTTGCTGGTTGGCAGTGAACACCAGCTCTGGAGAATCCACAAAATAAACAAGCATCACAAAGGACATAGAGACCTGGCATTAAATAACATCAGCTTTGTATCTTGAGTGGGCAGGGGTGACCCTATACAGTGACTCTGGTCTCCAGGTCCTCTCAAAGTAGACAATGGAAGGGAAAGGGCCCAACCTACATTTGACTGAAGAGAGAACCAGAAATGGGCAGTATTTAAAGGGCATTGATGAGACTTCCACATCTGGTTTCATCTTCATAGTTTAAAGTTTTGCTCTCTATCTAAAACCAAATTCCACTGGGAGGGAGAAGAGTTGAAGCTGCTATCAGTCACTTATACCTTCACATGAATGCATTTATCAGGTCCTTTTCTGAAAGCAGATTTTGGCAAGGAGATTAGGGAAAGAGAAGGAGGAGAGTGGGAAGCTGGAGGGGTGTCAAGGGACTGCCTTGGATTTGGGGAAGAAACCAAAGAACAGGAATCTGGGCACATCGAAGTCAAAATTCTATCCTTCAGCATTGGGCCCTGGGTAGATAAGAGTGGACAGGATGGCTGGTCTTGGGAGCCAGTGAGGGAAAGGGGGAGGGTTTTCAGTGGGGGCGAATATAGGGAGAGAGGTAAATCAGAGGCAGATGGAGTTACTTGCAGAGATGAGAGGCAATACCAGGGACGCAGACCTTCCAGAGGGACGGCCCTGCTGGGCATGATCAGTCAGGACTGACAGAATCTTTGTAGATAGGACTCTGAGACAACTCATCCAATCCCTGTCAGGGCTGTTCTAGCTAGCTCTAGCTATCCCCCTCCTTCCCTCCTAGAATCTCCCACAAGGATGAGCAGGATTGTTTCTCTGTTTCTTACTAGGTTGGAGAGATGGCTTGAGTGGAATGACAAGGCCTTTGGTCCCTGTCCAGTATTTCCAAAGGTGTCAGAGTCCTATGGTAAAATATAAAGATGTCAATGTGTTCCTAGACCCGATGGCTTCAGCAAAGAAGGAGCTGGGTGAGATTTACCTGGAGTACCCAACTCTCTCTCCCTTTTCACCCCTTTTGGCAGTGATATTTCTCTCAGATATTCTCAGGTGCTCCAGGGACTGAGGTCCAGTCAGTTCTGAGGTGCAGGGGCTAGAAAGGAAGCTTTTCAGGGAGCAGTGAGAAATGAGTATAGCATTGAGCAAATACCCAGGCCTGGCATGTAGGCTGCAGATCCAGGCCCTCCCATCTGGGCACGTCCTGTCATAGCTGTAGGGACAAAAGTGTTAGTACATTAGAAATGAGAAAGGGAAGGCTCAGAAGAAAAATCAGTTGGTCCTGCTATAGTTGGGGGTAGTGGTAGGGAACATAAGAACTTCAGGGCTGGGAGGAGTGCCCACTGCACCCCTAGTTCAATACCCGAAGATACAGGGGCCAAGAATGAAAGTGTCTACTGGGAAGATGTGAAAGGGAATTGCAGGGATTTGATTGAGGCCAGGAACATTGAAGAACTCAATCAGACATTTCTCTATGCTGGCCCAAATCACCTGGATGCAACAACAGAGGGAAGATTTCTGGATTTTATATATTATATTGTTTCATATGAAATAAACATAATGGGAGGAAGTTGTGATAAGAATAGCTGACATTTATATAGTGCTTTAAGGTTTGCAAAACTCTACATATTATTGCTTCATTTGATCCTTACAACAACCCTGTGAAGTAGGTACTATTATTATCCATATTTTACAGATGAGGAAACTGAGGCAGAGAAAGATTAAATTACTTGCCCAGGGTCACTCAAATCATAAATGTCTAAGCAAGGATCATACCTGGGATATCCTGACTCCAGTCCAACCCTCCAGCTATTACATCAAGGTGCCTCTTAGCAGCTCTACTACACATAAACAAATATATATATATATATATATATATATATATATATATATATATATATATATGTGTGTGTGTGTATATACACACACACATATGTGTATATACATATGCATATATACATATATGTGTGTATGTATATGTATATGTATGGATATATTCATATATGTGAATATATGTTATATGAATGTATATGATACGTGAATATGTGATATATGAATACATATGAATATATGATATATATGAATATACACACACACACATATACACACACACATATACAGACAGATACACTGCCACCCTACTATTTCACTACTGAGAAAGGGAAAGGAGTTTAACCAGGCCGGCACCTACTTTCCTAAGAAGACACTCTGGCAAAGGAGAAATCTCCAGCTGAAGCCAGTGAGATCCCAAATTCAAGTGGTCCTAGGAATACTTCCTGCTCCCCCTCACCTGAGTATCTGTGGGAGAGGTGTCTTGCTTTCCCCATGAGGTCCTCTTGGTAGATGCTGCCTCCTTCCTTATGTTCTGATGAGAGAACAGTGACTGAGTGACGGGGAAGGATTCTGAACCTGATGCAGGCCCTGTCTTCCCAGTATGTGTCTGGGCTTCAAGGTTCCCAGACCCAGCATCTTACTGCTTGGCCTGGTCTTATTGGGAACAATCCCACCCCCTTTAACTCAAAGTCCATCCCACTCACCCCACTGCATTCTGAATTTTTGCTTCAGATGTGTCTGGTTGGCAGAGAACCCCAAGGCAGTGGCTTGACCCTTGCTTGGGTCACTCCATATTGTGGGTGAACAGGGAGGAGTCCA